CCTTGATCACTTTTATTTGAAGGAAACCAACATCACGGAGGTTTTTCAGGGAACTTTTCAAACTCTGTGGGGACAAATGGAGATGAATGAAAACTAGAAAACACTAGTTTGTGCACAGTCCTCTAACTTTGGATTGATCACACAATACATGAGTCAGGCTCTGCTTTATCTCAAAATGTTAGGAATTTTGGAAAATGTATCTTGGAAACAAAAACCAAAATGTTTAGTGTAGTAAAACAAATTATATAAAAATAATAACAATGATTGTCAAATTTAAAGACATATTACATGTACAAAAAAATGTATTCTGACTATAAATGTCTATTTAATAACTATGTTTTTTGCATATAAGAATAACCATAAAACCACAGTATCAGTATATACAGATATTACCCACTTCAGTGCTAAATGGACAAGGAATTATGATGAATGTTGTAAGGGCGTTAAAATGTTTTTTGGAAGCTGTGGCATTCATGACTTTAGGGACAATCACAAAAAAAAATCAGTGATTTTGCAAGCTTCAGTCTGTTGTTGGAAAATACTGCCATCTCTTGGCCCTTTTAACACAGAAAGTACCGCAAGAATCCTTGGAACAGTTTAGACTTAAATAACCCCGACCTGACTCGGATTTGAACCTGATTATTACATCTAAACATGTTGAATTGCAGATTCCTGGGGCTGACTGAATGCAATATCTTCCACAATGCCTGTATGTCGTAAAAATGCTCAACGACAGACTGTGTAACCTTTTCCCAACTTATTTCCCCGTACATAAATACAAGACTAGTAAAAAGCATCTTAAACCAGCAGTGTTGGAAAGATAGTGATAATACAACTATAACAATGTCTTCACCTGTGTCTATTTAAAAAAAGAGATGTATGCAGCTGTTAGAGTTTATTATAAAATACCTATTTTTAACCAATGTTTAGTCTAACGAAAAGTACTGTTTCAGAACATTTCGGTTAGGTTAGATTAGTTTGATGATATTTGGTTAGCCTAAGGTGATTTTTAGTTTGTAACGTTTTGGTGTTAGGCATAAAGTCTCTCCAATTCTAGAAGTTAGTTTTATATATATATATACTATATATATATATATATATATATATATAGTAAATACTTTCTGTGAAGTTTTTGGGACTCTATTTTCTTAAACTTTGGATAGTTTATCAGGAAGTCCCCTTATAAATGTATTAAAACATGACTTTCATATTTAGAAAATAGATTCAAGGTGTCAGATATGCAGACACAGGTACTGACGTAGTTGTCCAGCTGGTTCTCTTGTTCGTGGGGTTCATCGAGAGGCGCAGCACACAGGTCAGAGATGGAGACGCCGCTGCATGTGTTCAGTGTGAGCAGGAAAACTAAGCGCCCCTTGCCCTGGTCCAGTGTGTGTGTTAACAGCTGTCTCTGATCAAAGGGTACCCTGGACAGGTCAACTTCACATCTGTAAACACAAACATATATACAAATGAAGTTGCAGGTATGCAGTCAAGCGTGGTCACATGCATGCAAAATAGTGTGTAAACACATACAGGCATAAGAACCAACACATTTCATTTTGAAAAGATCCCTGTAAAACCTGTGCTTAAATCATTACGCCTGCCGACATCGTTCCCATTGTTCATTGAAACGACGTAGGGCTTCATAGTAAAGCTGCTTATTGGGGCCATTGTAGAAAAATCATTTATACAAATACTGAAAAGAACGTTCAATAAATAAAGCACTTTTGAAGAATAAAGCATGTACACATGTCACAGTAAAGGCACACAATACAAATATGAACCTACAATGAGCATAATATGGCCCCTTCAAAAACCAGAAGGACACACACACACACACACACACACACACACACACACACACACACACACACACACACACACACACACACACACACACACACACACACACACACACACTAAATGTTGTTATTATTATTTTTGTTTACTTTTATTTTTATTTTGGCAGTCTAATGGATAGTGAGGTGGGCTGATGATTGGAAGGTTGCGAGTTCAAATCCCGCCAGGAACACCACTACTAGTGTGCCCTTGAGTAAGGCACGTAGCCCTCAGCTACTCCAGGCAGAATGTCCCTGTAATTGGTCATTGTAAGTCGCTCTGGAATAAGGCGTCTGCTAAATGCCTAAATTTAAATGATATTTTTGGGAGAATAAACCCCACAGATCCTCAACTCCGGTGTGTCACTCATTAACAACGCAACACAGAGCAACAAGAACGTTGTCTACAGTAGCCATGAACTCGCATGTATTTTCTTATTTGAGGGGGGGGTGGATGCGTGGAGGTTAAGGGGCCTTTGGCTTTTCTTGCCGGGGGGGGGGTGCGGTGCCCCCACAAATAGAATCACATTCTGTGGGAAACACTGAAATCAGTAGATTATCTTTTTTCAGAATAGGTCAAATTCATGGCAATTTGTCTTTATAGCCTAAGTGCCTAAGATGATATGGTGATTCTGGCAGAGTATTCCATAATTGCTTAATTCAAATGCAAAGTATAATTTGATGAGGTCATTGTCTGCAGGCATAACACACTGGCAGCTTCTGAATGCAGACTCACGCTCCCAAACAGTCCTCGCTCCTCCGTCCTTCTTTAGACCAGAGCTCCACCTCCAGGGCGTCCGGACTGTCCACAAACTGGTTCAGAGTGAACCTCTCTCTCCACTGCGGGTTGGACACTCTGCAGTGATTCTGAATAAAAGAAAGAGTTCAGAACAAGAAACATAAAACATATATTTGTTTTAATTCACATGTAGTAAAACCCTGCGAGTAGCCATTCAAACTCAAATCAGAAATCATTGATTTCCTAATTTCCCTTTTATGATATGATTTCAAGTGCTGTCAAAGTAAATGTTATATTTTTCACTTAGAAAAAGCCTGTAGTTATAGAGGTTCATCAGTTTTACCAGATTTTTTTATTGAATGGCGTGTGAATGTTTAAGCTTTGAATCATCTTCAGAAAGCAGCATCAGATTTCCATGGCACATGAAAGCACACGGTAATTACTGTCACTCCGAAAGAAAAGAGCGGAGTGGTGCTGCTCATTAGCATGGAGCTTTGATGTGTAAAGGATGATGTTGCAGAATAGCCAGACAATAATCAGCTCAGACATCATCCAGCTGACAGGGTGAGCACTGATTAAAGCTTCTGATGTCACTAGCAGAAGTCCATTTCATTTGATTCCAGTGCTCAATAATATACATCATCTCTGTGACACTCTGCTAACCGTATTCGTAGTACAAAAAGTGAATGCTTAATTTATACATTAGTATAAACTCTGTTGCATAAAATAGTCAACATTATAATGTAATACACCTTGGTAAATACACCATAATACAAATAAATAAAAAAATGTTTAGGGTTTAATGACAATAACCACTTCGCAATTTTCTACCAAATATATTACTATACTAGAGAATGCAATTCCTGAAGAAATTGCTAGTGGGAATGCTTTATGCTGAAAAGCTGACGCTAAACTGCTATGCTGAAATGTAATGTCGAGTGATCTGTCGCCATTGCAACGGCATTTGATGACACCCCATAATACGCTTAGATGCGTTGATGGCTGCATCGTTACCAAACCTGTGAAGTTTTGGGCCGTTTGGAGCATTTTCACTGAAACAAGAAAACCGTGTTTCATGGCGAGCATTGTGTTGCCATGGCAATGGCATTTGAAGAAACCCCATAATTGACGTAGAGCTGTTGAGGGCTGGACCGGTGATATACAAGCGAAGTTTGGGGGACGATCGGACCGTGTCCATTGGACTTACAGCGACATTGTGCTTAATGGCGAGTGGTCTGTCGCCATGGCAACGGCATTTGATGACACCCCATAATACGCTTAGATGNGTATTTACCAACAAAGTGGAGAAAACCGAGAAACAAAAATCACCACAGTTTCAAAACTTACTCATAGGTGTTATGGCAAGAGTTGAAATTCAGAACAATAGTGAAGAAGCTACTCGATCTTGTAAATTGAGATAAAAGTAAGACAGTATCAGAGTGTTACATCTGTTACAATAAAAGTCCTGCATTCAAAAATGTTCCTCAAGTGAAAGTAGAAAAGTTTACTAATCATCAAAATATAGTTAAAGTACCAAAAGTAAAAGTAGTCATTGTGCAGATTGGTCAATTTCAGAATAATATATATGATATGTTTTGTAATGATTGATCATTAAATTGTTATCAAAGGTAAAGGTGCAGCTCATTTTACAAATTAGATCAAAGTCAAGTAAAGTACAAATATCTCAAAATTGTACCTAAGTACAGTACTTGAATAAGTGTACTTAGTAACTTCCCACATCTGAAATCAGATATGACTTCAAGTCATGTGATCATTTCTTAGTATTTGATCCTTCCACTTGGCCTCAGGAAATGCAAGGACTTCACAGTTTTGGCAACAAGTTTTGGAGAAAGCAAATTGGAGGCTTAAAAAGAGACTGAGAGGGAGCAGAATTGATCAGTCTAGATCAAATATGAACACAAAGGACACACATGCACAAAGACATGCACTTTTACAGAGAGGTGTCAGAGTAAAGATGCTCCCAAGTTTAAGGCGGCATGGAGCATTTGGTGGTTTAGTGCCCTGCCCAAGGACACCTCGGCAGCGCCCAGGAGGTGAACTGGCATCGCTCCAGCTGCCAGTTCACTAACATGGGACTTGAACTGGCGACCCTCCTGTTCCTGAGCCAAGTCTCTACAGACTGAGCTAGTGCCGCCAAAGGGAGAAGGAGCAGAGGAAAGGGAGTGTGAGGAGAAGAAAAGAGAGGAGGGGGATTTGAGAGAAAAGAGAGGGTTTAAGAGGACAATAGACGAGGACGAGGGGGGTGGAGGAGATGAGAAGTACCTTGCTTTTGAATCTCTGCTCTCCCAGTCTGAAGCGGACAAAGAGCTGACCCCCCTGGGAGTCCAGCGGCATCTCCTGGCCCTCCACCAGAGTCACGGACAGCACAGAGGTCCACAGCTGACTCTTCCTCAGAGACTCGGACAGCCGGAGGTTCTGAGCAGAGCTCCCCGACTGCAGCGGCAGGTCCAGAGAGAGGAGAGGTTAGATTACAGAACCAATGACCTTAAGGATATCTAATGGGGCTGCACAATTCAGAGAAACATAACTAATAGTGATTACTTTTGACTGATATTGCAGTTTCAACTTGATTTACGATATTAGAGGGAATCTCATTTTATTATCATAATAAATTAAAATGATTTTAAAATGATTCAAGTTCATATTTGTATGTAGTGCCTCTACTGTGACATGTCTCCATGCTTTAATGTTCAGAAAGCTCTTTATTTTCCTCGTGCTGCAGCACCCTTTCACCCTCTGTCTGAAAGGAGAGCGTGAGCCAATAGAAGCACGAGTGTTACACAATGAGGTCACTAGGTTAGTATATAAAATAATAATAATAATAAATGTGGCCCCTTTAAGACCATCTGCACTAAACAAGGATGTATTTGATTTCGTGTGAAACCTGTTTTTCTGCAGCACTACAATGAATAATCCGGATATTTTTGAAATATTTAGCTTTTAACAAATATTGCTTATACACTGTATACTTAAATCAAACCAAATCCAATTAATCTCCTTATTTACCATCCTCTTATCTTTTATAACGATGCATGTATCAAGCAGAGCCGGGGAAAAGAAGGAACACAAACCAGTCCAATACATAGAATAGATTCTACTTGGGAGAGCCGGTTGAATGAGATACTATTTTCTCTATTCTTCAGTGAAAGGAGGATTAAATTGTCCCTTCAGTTCACTGAGAGATTAGGCCAGGCCTGCAGTAGCGTCTCTCTTCCACATATAATAGGTAGCCATGTTCTTGGATAATTAGCCAAGCTTACATGAAGACAGCACTGTAGGGAGATCTATTTAACCAGATTCAAGTCATGCAGATCAGGCTGACAGTGACGGTTCTGCCACATGCAGAAAAATCACATTTCACATAGCGGACCACACTCAGTGCAGCCGGCGGAGTGCAATTAGCATGTGGAGTAGCAGGGGGACTGGAACCAGTCATGCAAATAACGGCAAGACAGCAACAATATGGCTGCAACTCAATCTAAGAGCATGCAGACATTAAAAGGGGAAGAACAAATGTTGTTAGAATCAATAGCCTTCATTTCTAAGATATTTAATCTATCCAAATCAATGAATAAAACCTTTTTTACTAAAAGAATAATTGAAGTATTGCAAGTGGTGTACACTTATCCTACACACAGAGTCAAAGTTGTGTCTACCATATTCCCAGTTTTATTTTTTAGTACATTACATTTTTTAAATTGGTAAATCCAATTGAGAAATCTAGTCTTAGCCCAACAATTGTAGTTTTGTAACGGCCACTTTTGTCATTTGTTGTAAATTAGAAAAAAAATAAATATATATATTAGCGCACAGTTGACTGGAGTAGATCCTGAAATGATCACCCCTAAGCATGCATTCTAAAATCTTTATTTAAAAAAAATAAAATGTTTTATCGAATGTTGAAATAACCAAAGATTCCCACCACGAGCAGACACGGTCTGGTTCCAGCCTCGGAACAGATTGATAGATGCATGCATTATAAAGAAAAGAGGGTACAACAAATAGCATGCTAAGCAAAAAGAAAGCATGCATTCAGCAGCTGCTCTGTGGTCAGAGCATATAATGGATGCGCTGGCAATATTCTTCATATTCTTTTGTTATTTAAAGAAGAACCATTAAAAAACCCAAACCAACAACGCTTCTCAGTACTTCCCTTCTCTCCCTGTGGCATTCCAATCCAAGCCTTTTGGTTTCTACTGAAAACGTGCATCTATTTTATAAAAAGTGTCACAAATGTATTGTTTTATTTCATTCAAGCAACACTAAGTATTTTTTCAAAGAGAAGAAATAAACAAAAGAAGTGACGCGGTTTTGGAACTTGTGTCTTAAAGGGCCCATAGGGAACGGTGACATGAAGAAGGTGTAAAAGTCATGTTGTACTTCCTTCTTCTACTTAATTAATTAATTTTTATATTAAGTAACAACGCTTGTAGGATGGTTTTTTTAAACGTTGTGCCAGACTGATTCTATGGACATTCTCCGGATATCATGAACAAAAGTTGACTCAACTGTCATTGTAAAAAATCTCTGCTTGCACTCCGTTTACAGGTTTTAGTACTTTTGCATGACGCCACTTTTTAGGAATGGATACCTTTTCGTACTTTAAAAAAGGCGAAATATTTTCGAATCAAGTGTTTGTGGCAGGAGGACGCTACTTGGCCATGTTCATGGTATTATTGTTTTTGGATGCCAATAGAAAACTATGGGACAGAGGACTGCGCAATATGTCAAGTTTTAAAAACAAGGTAAGTAGGATCAATTTAGTGTTGGTATTGGTCTTTGTAATTTTTTTTCTTTTCTTTTCTGGAAACTGACTTTAAATGACTAATTATTTAAGTATTGGTCAAGTTTCATTTGCTACAGAAGAAACACAGAACACGGTGATCTGCTTCCCTCTTGTGCAAAGACTCAGAGCAACTTTAAAAGCCTAACATTCAATTCCTAAAATTATCTTCTTGGTTCATATTTAGCAGACTGATTAAGAATGCAGATTTAAAAAAAAAAGTCTGTCTTGTGTGGTCCCTTCAGAGTGCCTTACCCTAACACTTCGTTTTCTCATTGGGTGCCACCGCTGGCGACAGGAGCATGCATGTTAGCAGCAAAACAAAATGACACTGTGGTTAGTCAGGCACAGACACAAACATGTGCAGTCTATACAATGCATGAGCAATGAATACAATGTACAGCAGGTGTCCCTTCAGTTGGAGAACATGCAGTACATACAGGGCCTCTTTTGCTGTCTCCGTCTCTGAGTGACAGACTCATGTCCACCAACACGAGGCCCATGTCCTCCTCCAGGCTGTTGGGGTCGTTCAAGGACAAGAGCAGCTCGTTGGCCCTGGAACACATCGACCAGAGGGAGCATCATGTTAAGATTTGTTGACATGATGTCAGAGAGAAGTTATTCTTGCTTCCTGGAGAGGCGGAGCTAAAAACATAAAAGGCTTGCCTCAAGTGGAGGCCCATCTCCTATTCTTTTTATTTGATAAGCAAGCTTCCTTTGCTTTAAATTGCATACATATCCATCATGTTGTTTTATCCTTAGTTGCTGTATTGTTCAATTTAGATTAGGTGTTTCTACATTCTTCTAACTGTTGATTTGATTTGCCCTTTTTTGCTAGATCAACCAGCGAACAATAGGACACAGATTTGGAACTTCTTATGTGCTCATTGTTAAATACATTGCATTGACTTTTAACTTTAAAACCAATCTTTTCTTACCCAAGGTAAACATAATCTTTTTTTTTGTTTTTATTTTAATATTTGCTTCTTTAAAATTGTTCTCATATCATGAGGCCAAAACAATGTAAACTGAGTGAAATGGTTAAAGCAGACAGAGACTTTATTAGGAAATCAAATATTGGCCGATGACTGCTTGTTGCAAACACATAATTATAAGCACATATATGTGAGCCAAGTTGCTATACAGAAAGGCAGAATATATGTTTAAAGGTAATCTTGGAAAGGTTTTTAAAGTAATTTTTTTCAAACAGTCAGATCTTTTAAGAATAAAAGGTATACTCAAACAGAAGACTTGTCAACATTGTTTGTTTATGTGTTAATTGCAAATAGTTAATTGTTGTACTGTTCGCCAACTTATTTTTAGCATATTTTCTTTTTAATTCTCAAGAAATCAGTATTCATTTATAAAAGAATACTTTACCCCCGAACTCTAAATGAAAGACTCACTTGTCCATCTCCAGTTCACTCAGGGTGACGGTAGCGGAGCCCATGAAGTCATCAGTAGTCAGATCACGGTCGTAAACCTGAGTCACATCAACGGCAAGCGAGTGTTCATACAGAGCAGATATGATAATAGTGATAAATAGCATTGTATATAACTTAACCACTATGTGAACAATGACAGTGCGTTACCTTGATGTACAGTTTCTGGTTCAGATCCTTCACAGGAATGGAGAAGCTCTCATTCCATTTGGGGTTCAGGTCTCTATAAACCACTTTGCTTTTGTATAATGTCTTCCCATCCAATTTGAACTTCACATAAGGGTCGCTGGTACCTGAAAACAAGAACAAATACAAGCCAAAGCAGGTGGATTAAACGCAGCTGTTCATTCAACTTTACAAATAGTATTTTATTAAAAGGTGCCACATTACGCTCATTTTCAGGTTCCATATTTGTATTTTGTGTCTCTACTGTGACACGTTTACATAGTCCAAAAAGGTGTGGTAGAGAAACTCCCTCTGGAGGGAACTTAGGGATGTTAGCCTTTGCAGACCATACACAAAGCTAACCATGTTTGGAAAGGTTTAGTTTTAATTCATAGGCCAATATACTCCAGAGTGCTGTATAAGGAACTTATTGTATTGTCGTTCTGCTGTATTTTAAAAGAAGTGCATTTTGTTATTGTGACTAAAATACACTGATGCAATGACCGTGCGTTTTATTTCACCCTTGTTTCTCAACTTCTACAATAACTGTACAGGTTTCCAGTGAAAGGGAGGAGCATGGTGTACTCTCTCATGAGTCTGAACAGAGGATGTGGTTTCTGTCCTCTTCAACCAGGGGCACCACAAGCTTCCTGACTCAGTAGCCAATCAAATCTACGCTTCCACTACAAAAAGTGACAGCAGCTGAAAACTGTGAGTTTGTCTCATGACTAGTGTGTCAGGTGAAGATAAGACAACATGTGAACAGGATTCAGAATGAATACATGTTTCATTATAAGATTTTAAGAAAAGTGTTTTACTTTTTTTAAACCTCGCTTTCACAAACCTCACTTTCATTGCTGCTCTTTCAAATCTTTTCTCCTTTGAGGTGTGACTTCTATCTGTTCTATCAGTCAACCAGCTGGGGGCAGCAGACCACCAATCCCACCATCAGATTCTGCTGATTGGCCAAGTATTTAATGCAGTTATTGTTTTGTTGTTTGATATTAATATCATAACGTTTTCAGTTGTAGTTTCCCTTTTTGGATTTATAAGATTTCCTTACATGTTCCTGTATTTTGACATACCTCCTTTCTCTCATTGTGTTCTCCTGCAAGTCATATTTTATTTCTCTAAAAGCTGTCATTAAGGGCTTAAGCACATTGATTTCCCCCCTCTTTATTCTTTCCTTTCATGTAAATGCACAGGATATAGAAATACAGCCAATAAAAGGATATCAAAGTTTGTAATGGGTAAGACATTTAACTACTATGCCGTATGTGTCTTTATACAGAGTTTGCAGAAAAAGTGTGTAAATATACATTTAAAAAAAATGTATAAATACATGTAGATATTTTATTTCTATTCTATATTATCATACATTTGTTTTAAAGTCTATAATATATATACATCCCTACTATTTAATATTACAACTTCTTATTTTCTTATTATAAATTGTATATATTATGCTCCCATGCAAATAAGCATTACATTACATTATGCCACAACTCATTGTTTGTCATCAGCAAACAACTGTCAGCATTCACTCGCACTGCTTGCATTGTTTCTAATCCATTCAAAGAGAATAATAAATGTTCTTCCTGCACTGCTCTTAAAAGGCTGCATAGTCTTAACAATCATGCAGGGGAAACCAAATCCTCCTTGGCCTTCATCCTCCTATCATTTTTCTGCATTATCTTTACCCACAGCCTGCTTGTGTAAATACAAAGCCACACGAGAGAGAAGATAATCCAGAGACATGCCCAGAGTGAAAGGCCTGCTTTAATGAGTGCAGGGTGTGGTTCAGACAGGTTCTAATGTGCCGTGTGGAATCCTGCCCCGGCTGTTATAAGACCTGCACAGAAAACCTGACACTCGGCTGTCTCGGTTGCCCCTGGAGTCAAAAACGTTGTGTTTGATCAAACAGACACAAGCGCTTACAAGCCAAGGCTAAACACACAGACTGAGGTCAGCACAGGCAGAAGCACACACGCAGGAGAGGACACAGGTCTTTTCTGCTAGGCTTAAAGGGGCCCTACGATGCTCATTTTCAGGTTCATATTAAAATGTTGTGCCTCTCCTGGGACATGTCTCCATGCTTTAATGTTCAAAAAGCTTTCTTTTTCTCATACTTTTCACCCTCTGTCTGAAACCAGAGCTCAGCCTGCTCTGATTGGTAAGCCGGCCATCTCCTTGCAAGAGTGTTACAAAGTGATGTCACTGGGTGTTTCTCAATGTCGAGTAAAGCTGCCCCAGAGCCACTATTTCAAGCATACTACGTCATCGAGTGCCGCCGTAGCACTGTTCCAATGCCCAGCATACTTGGAATTCTACCGAGCCCGGCGTACTTCGTTTAGAGAAATTTCGAGGATGCACATGTGTCGACTCCACAGTCTTAAAATCCCCACAATGCTTTGCGCAAGGACCAATTTCCCCAAATCTGTGGCGGAAAATGTAAGGCGGGGCCTCTCATATGAAGCACACCTGCTCGCCTGTTCCACTCTTTGTTTTCCGAATGCCAGGAAGTATTCTTGCCTCGCTTCTGAAGCAAGTGACACGGAAGACATGTGCTACCAAGCAAGCGTACTCGAGATTGAGAAACACCCAATATGTTACGGAAGTAAGCAAAGGAGTCCTATCGAGGCATTTT